CTTGATTTATATATAAATCTTATTTCTACAATGATTTGTGTTGCTTAATACTTCCAATTGATCATTTCATTCTATTCATATGCCTATGTATGCTAGAATAGATGTTCATGTGTTTATCTCTTGGTTTTGTGATGTCGATACATGTCTATGTGTATTGAAGTTATAAATCTAAAGATTGTCAAGACATAGTGCTTAATTAGAATACTCTTGTGGTTTGTTTGATGGTTTATGCTCATTTCTTGATGAATTATGCCTCTCCCTTAGCTTAATTAGTTTAATTTTCATGTCCTTAGATTAATTGTAGTGTAAATGCATTACTTTCCTAGATGAGAAGACAATACATGCTTGTTATTTGATGTTCTATACTTATGAATGCAAGTAGTATATTTCTCTAACCATTTAATGTGTTTGGATTGTGAACTTAAAGGAAGGATTAATGACTTGATTTGATATATTGTGCTATTCATTAGGTTGTTTAGACAATGTATATTTAATTGGTCATCTATGCTTGTTGATTCAATCAAAAACACACGCTTCAGTTGCAACACATGCTTCCCCCCATCTATTATATATTAAGTGTCTAGAAATGTGATGTTTAGTGGTGACCTCTAAGTCCTAAGATCTCTCTATCTTGTTATCTCTATATTTCATTTGCTATGACTTTTGCATTGAACTTGCTTAATTTAGTGTGTAGCTTAATCAACCAACCATCTCACATTTTGATCACTCGACTTACTAATCCAACCTTGTTTTCATATTAACATAGCTTCCATTTTCCTTGGGACGATCTCTCTTCACCCTAACTACGTTAGTAGTATTGGTGGTAGTGGCTCTTATAAATTTAAACTTGGCCACTTAACATGTTTTAGCTTATTGGTTCTCACGGCGACACCAATAGGTAATTTTGAATAGAGTTTTATAGAAATTATTTTATTTTCTTTAAATATATCCTTGTCTAATTAGATTTCATTTTATTAAGAAACTCATAATAAAAGCTAATTTATGGAAGAGTTTTAAAAAATATATTTTTTATTTTATATATCAATTAATAAATATTTTTATATTTATAATTCTTGTCTAATTAGATTTTCTTTTATTAAAAAAATCATAATAATAAATAGATAAATAGGTAATTTGAATTTTATTAGGTAGATTTTAGAGTTTTATAGAGTTTTTTTTTTTTTTTAATGAAAACTCTTTCATATCAATTAATAAATATTTTTCTATATTTATAATTCTTGTTTAATTAGATTTCCTTTTATTAAAAAAACTCATAATAAATAGATAAATTGGTAATTTGTGTTAGAGTTTTAAAGAAACTCTTTAAATATATATTTGTCTAGTGTGATAGAATTTTATTGAAAATAAAATAGGTAATTTGTGATATAGTTTTATAAAAATTATTTTATTTTCTTTAAATATATCCATATCTAATTAGATTTTGTTTCATTAAAAAACTCATAATAAAAGCTAATTTGTGGTAGAGTTTTCAAAAAATTATTTTATTTTATATATTAATTAATAAATATTTTTGTATTTATAATTGTTGTCTAATTAGATTTTCTTTTAATAAAAAATTGATAATAATAAATAGATAAATAGGTTAATTTGAATTTTATTAGGTAGATATTAGAGTTTTTTAGAGGTTTTTTTTTTATTTTTTATAAAAACTTTTTGCATATGAATTAATAAATATTGTTTTATATAAATAAATATAAATACTAAAAAAGTCTTTTTATATCAATTAATAAATATTTTTTTATATAAATAAATAAATACTGAAACTCTTTGGCAGAGGTTCTGTATTTTACTCTGCAATTCTAGATTTCTAGAATTCTCAATTTCTTTACCCCTCCTTCTTCCTCCATGCCTCTATTTATAGGCTTCTTAGATTAATAGGATGATGACATATGTCCTCTTCTAATAATGACATAATCATAACTGTGCCGGGCCGGTTATATTGTGATAATTATACATAAAAAATATCTATTCATTTTTTATCAATTAATAAATATATTTTTTTTTTTGATTGATTTTATTAGGTAACTTTTAGAGTTTTATAGAAACTATTTTTATAAAATCTATTTTTATATCAATTAATAAATATTTTTTATATAAATAAATAAATACTGAAATACTGAAACTCTTTGCACATTAAATAATAGTATAGATATAGATATATATGCTATATTATATTATTAAAAGTAATCCCACATACATTAATTGCATCCCCACCTGGCCCAATAGTGTGATTAAAATATGTTTTGAACCTTGAATTGGGCGAAACTGACCAAAAGCTTCAAGTTTTTGCAGGTGTTTAGGAAATTGAGTTCATAGGAAGAATTGCTTCAAAGAACCAGAACAGTGTTACATTTTTTCAGTAGTGGTTTTGTTTCGAAATTTAATAAGTCTTACTTTTCACTAATCGTTTCCAATCTGCATTGTTGATTTTGACATGAGCCAAAAATGTCTAAACATTTTCTATGCTTCAAAATCAGAAATATTGTAGCGTGCAAATGACATATACAGGATTACCAGGTAAGACACAGAACACTGGCACATGTGCTTCTCTGGAAGAAATTAACATCAAGGTTCTTCATGTACTAGTAGTGAACAGGTGCAATCTATATCATGTTTTACAAGAGCATAAGTTATTCACCTGGACCATAGAGCTCTATGTCTTGCAAAGATGATGATGAATGATAAATATTGGAGTCGGATATTGTCACTTAGATTAGAGTAACTCATGTGAACTATAATTGGTTGCTTCTATTAGTCCCTGCATAGAAGACGAGTGAAAATTAATAAATAGATTAAAGAAAATTTAAGGGCCTTATTGGTTTGTCACAATAAAATAGTTTATCGAAAACAGAAAACTGTATAATAATTACAGTTTAAACCAATATTGTAGAATTAACGGTCTTTGAACTTTAGTATTAGTGTGATGACAAGTCAAATAAAAGTAAAATATTTACAAATTGCTAATAAGAACTAGGAAAGAGTGGATGATGAACAAGTTTCGATAATCCAAGTTTTGCATATACGAAACATGATATAAAGAAAGAGAGTATAGCTATTACCAGCCTCAAAAACTTTTTCCTCCTTTCTTGAAATTGGGAGGCTCAACCATTTTGATCATCTCATTCTCCAATGCAGCAGCTGTTGAAAATAAACTTGATTTTAGTATTTAGTATTTTCAAGTATTTTTGTATCCATGATGCATGTGTTAATTTAGCATGTTAGTGGGTAGTAAATTGTCTTAGTGGGAGTTACGGTTATGTAAAATAAAGAGTCATGAGAGTTAAGCCTAACAAATACTATGTTAGTGGGAGTTATACATATTGAAAATTATGTTAGTGGGAGATAGGAGAGTTATGGACATTTAAATGTAATGGTTACACATACATATGTAAGGCCTATATATTCATGTACTCTAGTCAAATAATATATCAAGTGAAATAAGAAATATTTTCCTCCATTTCTATTCTCTTCCAAATAGTATAGTGTTGTATGTGTAACTAGGCCACTATTTCCAACAAAGTGGTATCAGAGCAAGATTTTATGTTCAAAGGCAGATTTCATGTTCAGAACCTAGACGATCCTGAAGGCCAGACGAAGTTGATCCTAGAAGGTTCAACATTTAAGAAAAACATGTTTCTCCTTAATGATGATGAAGGGGAGAAAATGTATTTTCTTAGTGAAAAGATGATGTTCTCTAATTACAAGAGAATGAGAATCATCATGACTTCATACCTCAAAGCATGCGATTTGTGGGATGTTGTTGGAGAAGAGCCAAAGAATGGCATGTCCAACAAGCTTCATGAAAAGAAAGAAGATAAGGCATTGGTAGTGTTGCAAAAGGCAATACATCAAGAAATTTGGGAGTATTTTGGAGAGTCCAAAACTCCAAGTTGTATTTGGAAGATGCTCGAGACCATCGTTTCCAATCATAGAGGTGAATCACTACCCATGGAGTATTGGGTACAATGCTTTGAGAATGATGAGTTTACGAAAGATGATTATGAAAGTCTTGAAGACAAAGTTGTGGAGAATGAAGAGGTGTATCGTGCAAAAGAAGTTGAAGATTTTGGAGATTCAAAAGTTGAAGGAGAATTTGAAATGGTGAATAAGGAAGAGGTAAGAAAAGGTGTTAAAGAAGAGATTGAAAAAGTGAAGGAGGATGAAGTGAAAATAGAAGATTTAGAAGAAGGAAGTGCTAAAGAAGAGGCAAAAGTTCAAGTTGGTGAATTAACATCTTCAGGTATGGTTACAAATTCCACCTTGAAAGAAGTTATATTTGACTTATTTGATGAAATTATTATTTCTTCATATTCATCAAATAATGCTTATTTTGTGGAGAATGATGAACTTCTCTTAAAGAAAGTTGTTTCAAAGAAGTATGAGATTGAAGCCCAGGATGATAAGAAATTCTCATATTATTTTTTAAAAAATAGTTTGGAGAATTTTGTAATTGATACAGGTTGGGTGAATATGGAATTATTTTTTGACTCTAAAGAAGAAGTATATGTGAAGTTGAAGATCCATAAAAAATTTAAGAAGAAAAAAGATCGATGGTGTGCTTGTATAAAGAGGATGATATATGATTATGTGAAGACATCAAACAAGCATTTGAAGAAGTTTCACAAGCCCTACACATCAATGGAAATGGCCAAGAAGATTGAAGCTATTGAAGGGGGTGGAATTGAAGATCAACTATCGAACTTTTGATCAAGCCCCCAAGATTAATAAGAAGGTTTTTCAAGTTACAAAATCAAGTTTAAAGGGGGGTGTTGAAAATAAACTTGATTTTAGTATTTAGTATTTTCAAGTATTTTTGTATCCATGATGCATGTGTTAATTTAGCATGTTAGTGGGCAGTAAATTGTCTTAGTAGGAGTTAAGGTTATGTAAAATAAAGAGTCATGAGAGTTAAGCCTAACAAATACTATGTTAGTGGGAGTTATACATATTGAAGATTATGTTAGTGAGAGATAGGAGAGTTATGGACATTTAAATGTAATGGTTACACATACATATGTGAGGCCTATATATTCATGTACTCTAGTCAAATAATATATAAAGTGAAATAAGAAATATTTTCCTCCATTTCTATTCTCTTCCAAATAGTATAGTGTTGTATGTGTAACTAGGCCACTATTTCCAACAACAGCATCAGCCGTTTCCTGCAGTTGCAGAGCAAGCTCGAGGTTTCGCACAACATCATTCATTGGAGGTCGTTCAGTTCCGCTCTTGAGGACGCATTTCTTAGCAATTTCCACAAACACGTTCAAACAAAGAGGCGAAATCTTCCCCATCAGATATGGATCAATGATATCTTCAACTGACTCTGCTTCTATGCACTCAACGGCCCACGTGCTTAGAAGTCTCCGCTCGTCCCCGTAGTCTTCCTCCATAGACACAGCTTTCCTCGCGCACAACACTTCAAGCAACACCACCCCCAAAGAGTATAACATCCGATTTTTCTGTAAACCGAGAAGTATGAAAATACTCTGGATCGAGATAGCCATTTGTACCCACAAATACTGTGTAGATGAACTGTTGGTCCTTGTGAACCAACAATGAATAATCGAAATCTGACATCTTAGCAACGTAGCTATGATCCAAGAGAATGTTGTGCTGATTTACGTCACCACGGATAATTTTCCTCTGCTCCACACCTGTATGAAGGTAGTTCAGTGCTTGAGGGACACCAATGCAGATTTGGAGCCTCTGCTTCCATGAGAGACGTTGATTATTAGTGGTCGTACTGTGGAGACGATAGAATAGGGTCCCATTGGTCATGTATTCATGTACCAGGATCATCTCATGTCCATCATAGCAGTACCCAACCAAGGATACGACGTTGGTGCATCGAAGTTGGGACTGCACCTCCAGCTCCGTGCAAAACCAGTTATAAGAATAACTTCTCTCCAACCGTTTGATAGCAACCTTGGTCTCTTTTTCCATATAACCCACGTAAACCTTACTATGATAACTTTCTCCGATTAGGAGGCTACTATTAAAATTGTTTGTGGAAGCTCGAATCTCTGCGAGTGAAAAGCGACGACAATGTACGTGCGGAAGTGGATAAGCTTCTATCTTTGAAGATCCATGGAATAGAAAACGCGACCCCAACCAAGAGTAATCTTTCTTTTTACCAAATTCCATACTTTTTGTTGTTCCAAGTGTAATACTCTCCAACACCCTGCTTTCATCTATTACCTCCATAGGAGGTATACTGGAATGGCGAGACACATAAGAAGAAGAATCCTCTGATGTAATAGAGCTCGATTCAACACCCTCCTCTGATGTAATAGAGCTCGATTCAACATGCTGGTTGGAAGCCCCTCCATCATTGATAACCTCTTGCTCTGTATAAGAGTCAACCCTCCCCTGCAACTCCAATGTAAGTAAATCGAGTCTTGCCACTATTTCAGCCATTGTAGGCCGTTCATTTGGTTGATCATGCAGGCATTTGTTGGCAATTTTCACAAACCTTGTTAAACTATGAGGTGAGATTTGCTCCTTCACAATGGGATCAACGAGTTGATCAATTGTTCCTTTTCTGATGCATTTTTGGGCCCATAGGGCAAGACTATGCTGCTGCTCCTCAAGTGTTAAATCCACAGCCTGCCTCCCACACAATACTTCAAACAATACCACACCAAACGCATAAACGCCTGATTTTTTAGATAATCTTTGAGTCATGAAATACTCTGGATCCAAATACCCGAATGTACCTTTAACATTGGTGCTATGTGCGTGCGTGATACGTTTCCAATATCCATTTTCGACAATCCAAAATCAGAAACTTTAGCAACCCAATTTTCATCTAACAAAATGTTTGAACTCTTCACATCACGATGTATGATTCCATGGTGGGCACCTCTACTCTTATGCAAGAAGTCCAACCCACGTGCAGCACCAATACAGATATTGAGTCGTTGTTCCCAAGAAAGAGGTGAGTTACCACTACCATTTCTACTAGCTTTGTGGAGATGGTCAGCAAGGGTCCCATGAGCCATATACTCATAGACCAGGATCATCTCTCGACAATCATCACAGTAGCCAATCAAAGAGACAAGATGATTGTGCCGAAGGTTGGAAAGGGTGTTGATCTCAGCCCAAAACTCGTGAGCCCCTTGTTTGGATTGCGAATTCAACCGTTTTATAGCAACAGACCTGATCCTGTCGACGACCCCTTTGTACACGTTACCAAATCCACCTTTACCGATGATTAGTGCATTATCAAAGTTGTTGGTGGCCAACTGGATCTCAACGAGTGAGAAATGTCTGTGCAACTCCTCCTCATTCAATGATAAGATGTTTATTTTGCCAAAGTTTGATTCCAAACGATTTAAATAGTAAACAGTGAAATTCAATAGCGTGAGTACAAGAATTATACTTGTTGCAAGTATATTTATACTGCCAAAAGCTAAAACTATTTTTCGGAGTCTTAGAGTCCTTGATATTGGAGCATGTGCTTTGAAAACAGGACTGACACAGGACTGACACCAGCGAGATTATTGTCAGGATTGCTCAACTTAAATACCTCTACACCTTTTAAGATTGCATCAATGTTTTCAGTATTCGACTCATACTGGATCAGCAAAGCTATGATTAGATCACGCTTGCCCTCCATCCGGTCTCCTTCCATCATGGCCACATAGTCCTTGTATACCGCAGCTCCATTTCCACCACTCCATTTGATCACATTTGCATCAGTCTCAACAATCTTATCATTTATCAAGAGATCAAACTGTTTTTGGTTGCTAGTGATCATGGGTTCAAGCTCACAAAAATGGAGCCTAACCAGATATCTGTACCCCAAATCGACTGGTAATTTCCATGTCTGTGTATGTGATCATATTGCTGGTACTGACTCGTAAAAGACTTGATTGTACCAAGTAATTCTTGTCCTCATACCACGTACGGAACATGCCCAAATCTTCTACTGACAAAACGGATCTCCCTCCAACATTTAAGCGGTGAACCATCTCTAATGCAGTGCTATTATCAATATTGTATCGAAAAAACTTGTTGCCAACAACATGAGGGCCCAAATCACCATCGGGCGTGTAATAAAGAAAGGCGGGCATGGAGATGATTTCAATTCCATTAATAAAAGCATAAACATCATCAGTTGCACTCCTTTTAGACGGAGAGAATATTATGCTGAATACTCGTTTTTTTTCAATGTTCACACAAAATTCTTTTGCAAAATATCTTACACCCAAAGCCTGAGCAGTAAGAGATGCACTGAAATTGCTAAGGAGGGTGTACTGACCTGCTTTAACAGTGACAAGGGCCTTTGATTTTTCGAAACCGGAGTATGAAGCTGGGAAAAAGTGCAGGCGAATGAATTTTTGACCAGGCCCGAGCTGAAATATGTATGTCAATTGAGCGCGAGAGATCCGAGCAGTCATGTAGGGAACAGGATCCGCAAAGAGTGATTGGTGGACAGTTGCTGATGAGCTTACTGATTTACCTTTCGTTTCTTCTGTTGAAGTAAATTTTAAACCCATATCTCCAATCCATTCCCGGCCATCAAAAGCAGACGAGTAACCAGAGGAGCCACAATTAATGACCATGTCGTCAACCGGGTAATATTGGACAGGCGATTCACCATTTATGTTTATAAGTAAGAGTTGATGGACGATGTACATTGTGGTGATGATTTTTTTAAACTGATAAAGATACATTATTTCACTGAATCAGTGAGATTATAGGGAGAGAAGAGCAGCTGAAGTAGGGAAGTGACTCAAAGTTGAGTGGAAAATCTGCAGTTTTTCAATGGAAGTAGAGCCTGAACTCCAAACGCGTTACCGTATGAGCACCTAGGCTCCACACGGAGGAGAAATTATTAGTAGTCATTATTGGACTTCACTTTCAACTTTTTGACAACTGTGAAAGCAGTTTGCAGGTGGCTTATCTGATTGGTGTAGAAAATAATTAACATTTGATTTTTTTTTTTTTTTTTAATATTGTTTTATTTGTGTGGTTAATTGGGCTTCTAGTTCATATTTTAATGTTGACAGTTGCTATTCATGCTCCAAAATAATAGTCCCCTCTACTTTTTGCTAAATATGATTTCACGTTTTTACTTTTAAAAATTTTATAATAAATTTACTTTACCAAATAAGTTTTAAAATAGTATTAAATATAACCTAAAATGAAAACATTACTCCTGCTTCGTATCAAAGTAAAAACATAAATCAACTATACTTGCCAAAGGACCCTAACTTCCTAGAAGTGCTAGTTGCTAAATGTATATCACTGTGTTTGTTGATTGTCATTGGGCAACTCTAGCTTGGTATAATTAGAAAATAATAACAATAACTCCAATTACATTAGGCAACAATCAAATATTTTGATTAAAACTCTTTTATTATTATTTTTAAATACATTTGTAAATAAAAACTCTTTTTAAAAATTAAATATATAAATATTTGATAGAATTTAAAAGGAACTATCCTCTAAAAACTCTTTTAAAAACATAAGTCAATATAAGATAAAAATTCAAAATATGATAGATATATAAAATTGGATGAAAACTGTTTATACTTTTAATATATATATAGTATATATTATTATATTAGGTAAGTAATCGCACACACACACTCATTGCAACGCCTCGGTCCTTGGTGGGCCTCTAATGACTCAATAGTATGATTAAAATGGAGCCTAAACAAATATCCATATTCCAAATCCATTGAAAATTTTCGTGTGATTCGTTTTTTGGTTCGAACCTATTGATCAAGTTATTCAATAAACTTTTTAACAAAAAAAAAAGTTATTCAATAAACTTTATATGGGCCAGCGTACCTGGGTATGTTTGTGTATGTGATTATATTATTGGTACAAATTCGTAAAAGACTCAAACATACGAAACATGTACAAATCTTCTAACTACAAAATAGATCTCCCTCTAATATTATATTGAAAAAACTTTTTGCCAACGACTTGAGGGCCTAAATCACGTTGGAGCGTTTATGTAATACCCCATGTTTTAAAATAAGCTTTAATCTTGATTAAATGTATAATTAGTAAATTTTAGAGACTTTTTTATTTTATTTGTGGAGTTTAATTTTATTAAAGGGATATTAGAGCTCTTTGTGAAATTATTCAAGTGTGATGGGAACTTTGGGAATTTATGAATAATGATTCTAGGTGGTTGCAAGGTCTTAAAGACACCTTCCACACATGCACCACTTATCTGATGACTCGCCTATTTACTTTTATATACATCTTAAGCCAAACACAACCTAGCACTGTAACATTGCAGTTGTTCCACATGGTTAAAGAGATTGAGAGAAAGTTTCGGCCTTGAAAAAATAAAAAAATAAAATAAATAAAATAAAATTAAGGGGGGGGGGGGAACCATGGGAGCTTCACCATCACCACTACCATCATTTCAACTATTTTATATTGTTGCCTAAAGGTAGGGATTTCTTTAATACTTGAAGCCATGAGCGGTTTTCATCTTGATTTTTCTTATTCTCCTAAATTTTTATAAATTCCTGAATCTTTATATTCTATATTTGAATCTATTGCGTTATTTATTTTTATCTCTGAAAATCTGTTTCGCATGTGTTAAAATTATGATCTTTATTTGGTCTTACTACCTCTGTTTCCATGAATTAAGATATGAGTCATGGCACATGTTAGATTTTGTTAAATTGATTATGTATCAGTTTCTCATGCTTTGCATTTTGAGTTGGCTTAATCATATTTGGATTGAACTTTATTATTGCTAAACTATGGGACTAGGAGGGTGATGTCCCGGGCGAAAGGGGTGAGCAATTGGGTATGAGCTACCCATAGGTGAAAGACTTTAAACCCGTAGCAGTAGACCCTAGACAGGTATTCAGAGTTGAATCCCAACTAGTCAAAGTGGGAGTGATAATTTGGGATCACTCTAGTTGTAGTGAAGGTGTTTGATAAATGTCCAATGGAAAAGTTCTGCTCTTTTGTCAATTCAATGCATCTCTTAATTTTTTGGAATCCACAAATTCAAGGGTTTTGGTAATTTTTAGTTCAAACGTTTTCGTGAATGGCTTTGTTATGAAATTTGTAAATTATTTACTAAGTAAAAACATAGCATGTGCCAAAAATCTCATGGAGGCTTGTGTTAGGTTTTTCCTACTGGGACATTTGTCTCACCCTATTATTTTTTTAGGTACCATGATCAATTGGAGGAATTGGAGTTGCTGAAAATGATTATTGGTGACCATCTTGTTCATGTAGATAATATCTTTGGTAAAATGCTTGATTCAATTGTAATTTGAGAAATGATGTTCACACGTGATTATGATAGTATTTAATGGAAACTATGGAAATTTAGAGACATGTTGTTAATTTTCCCAGCGAGTTTGATTGGTTGGTTTGATAAATATGAAGGACAAGGGACTGTTTTGGGTAGGAATTTTCTTCTTTTAATTTTGATTGAACTAAATAATTTCTCCAATGAGCTGTATTGATCTAAATGCTTTAAAAATTTTACCACAGCTTCCTTTATGCATCTAGTACTTCTCCATAAAATTTCATAATATTTAGATTAGTAGATATTTTTCTAAAAATTCGAGAGTACCTGCTGTCCAGATTTTACATCTGCTGGAAATCAGATTTTTCAATAATATATTTCACCAACTTCGTGACACCGGATCTTTCTCAAAACTTCCAGATTTATTCTTTTGTAAGTCTACTGCCAAAATAAATTTACTTTTCCCAATTTGAAGGTCAAACGAATTTTCTAAAATTTCTGAAGTATCCGCTACCCAGATTTTCTTTGAACTAAGTGCTGCTGATTTTCTTCTCAAATCTGATTTAATTGAAAAATCTTTAGCCTCCGTGAGTTGCTCAGCTGTGTTTCACTTTGAATTTAGTTTTTCAAATCATTTTTGTTTGCTCCGTTTCGTTTTAAAATGAATTTTCTAAGAATTTTTAACTAATCACAGCGCAGATTTTGTTTTGAAATTGTTTGTGATGTGTTTAAGTGGATAATTATCGGAATAATGCAACGGAAGTGTGTTTGAGGTTATTTAAGTAAATTTGAGACTATTACTGGACTATGGATTTTATATTGAGTGATTTTTGGATTATTTATTCGGACGGTTTCCGAATCATGTTTTGTTTGTGCCCCTAATTTCGACTCGTTACAGTTTAATAAAGAAAGGCAGGCATGGAAATGATTTCAATTCCATTAATAAAAGTATTAACATTTTGTTTTTTTTGGTCATTTCAAAGGCACAAAGGCTAAGCCAACGGCAGTATAGAAGCACAAAAGTAAGCTAGAAAAGGCATACAAATTATAAAGCAAAATAATAAAATGAAGAAAAGGCTCCAGATCTGTGATGAAAATAGAACCTAAAACTCTGCAACGGAACTACCATCGGAGAAACGCAGCAAAAGGAGTGACACAAAGGTCAGACCATCAAGGCAATAGCTCCAAGGCTACAGCCACAAGGCGCTCCGACACCCAAAATCCCACAGAAGATCAAATTAAGGAAAAAGAACAAATTTAGGCGGGAGAAAACCAAAACCGACCTAAATCAAAGATCCAGCTAGAGAAAACAACAGATCCACTTATGTGAGCTGAAAATGAACCCAACTGAAGCAGATCTAGCCAAACAAAAATAATAAAAAAAAATGGCTTAAAAAACACCCACAAAGCGCACTTATTGAAACACGTTGAGTTTATTGCAACCGTGGGAGGGAGTATCATCTCCCCACTTCTATGGAAGGAAGCAGGGAGCCACAAAGGGAAAAAGACGAAGGCTAGGTAAAGTATTAACATATCAGCTGCACTATTTTTAGAGTGAGAGAATGTAACGCTAAATACTTTATTTTTTTTCAATGTCCACAAATTTATTTATTTATTTTTTTTAATTTATTTATTTTTTTTTTTTGTAAAAAACCTTACATCTAAAGCCTCAGCAGTCAGCAATAAGGCCATTTGCACCAGCCTTTCCAAATTTTAGCTCTCTAAAAATGCCATTTCAACTTTTCCAAGAGCTACATCAGCAATTCCAAGAGCTATGTCAGCAGCTTATGCTCTCCAGAAACATGCAACTTCTTTCCTTTGCTTACATGACAGGTGTGTACATGTCTTTTTTTTTTAACTTTTCCTATATGGCTATATTTCTAACTGCTATATTTCTAATGGCTGTATTTTTCATCTTATATAATGAATACTCATTTACTCATTTGAAAATCATCAATACATTCATCTCTCTCCATTATAGCAAACTATCATTATCCATCTTTTTCAATTTTGCAATTCCAGTGGCTTCGTCATTACAAGATTTTCCTTTGGCAGACTCTAATTCTTCATCTTCCTCGTCATCCTCTTCGAAAGATGACTCTATTGCCACACTGATTCAACAGGATCAAGACGAATGCTATGAGATTATTAATTCAGTGAGGCCAGAGATAGTTAAGTAAGTATTTCAAGTCTGTAATAAGAAGCGGTACATTCATCGTGACCTGAGAGGGAAGCCATTATCAGCTAATGAAAGACTACTTCGACGAGAATTGCATTATCCACCGGAATATTTTCACAGGCGATTCAAGATGCGACGAGAACTTTTTCTTTATATCCTTAATGATGTCAAAGCTTATGGTTGTTTGGGGTTGTTTTTTATACAAAAGATGATAACTGTTGTTCGTATACTCGCATATGGTTGTGCAACTGATCACTATGATGAGTATATTAAAATCGGCGAGAGCACTGCCATTAAATGCTTAAAGGCATTTTGTAATGCTATTGTTGCTGTGTATGTAGAGGAGTATATGTGCCCACCCAACGAAGCCGACATAACACGGCTGCTTGAAGAAGGGGAGCAGAGAAGGTTTCTAGGTATGCTTGGTTCTATTGACTGTATGCACTGGGAGTGGAAGAATTGCCCAGTGGAGTGGCACGGCACACATAGGGGATGCTATGGTAATAATACTCTCATATTGGAAGCAATTGCCTCACAAGATTTGTGGATCTGACATGCATTCTTTGGAATGTTGGGTTCACACAATGATATAAATGTGTTGAATCATTCCCCCAGTATTCAACAGTATCGTCAATGGCCAATTACCTAAGGTTAATTATGTAGTGAATGGACATCACTATAGAATGGGTATTACCTGTCTAATGGTATATGCAGACCATCTCGCATCCAACCACTACAAAAGAAAAATTATTTGCTCAGCGATGAAAGGCATGCAAGACAGATGTGGAATAAGCTTTTGGGGTATTGGAGACCAAGTGAGCAATAACGCAAGGACTAGTGCGTTACTGAGAGAAAGATGACTTGCGCCTCATAATGAAAACGTGCATCATCCTTCACAATATGATCATTGAAGATGAGCATCATGCAAATGTTGGAAGATGGACTCCACCACCGAAGGATGTAATCCCGATTCCCACTTTAAGTCGATGTCCATCCATTTTAGCGGCACACATATTCTCTCGCCAAATTCAGATTCGCATTAGAGAGACAAATACGCGGTTGAGGAATGATTTGATAGAAAATTCATGGAACCGCTATGGTGATGAAGATCTTTAATTTATGTTGCATTTTGTTTGCTTTTAAGATATTATGACATTTCGTGTATTAGAATTTTTATTATGTAATGGTTTTTTAAGATTAAAAATAATGAATTGAAATAACAATATAAGGATTACAAAATCTTATGGGAATAAGTAAATGAATTTTTAATTTTAATTATTTTTTTTAAAAAAAGTTTTAAAAAATTAAAAATTTTACATTTTTTTATAAAAAATTATAATCGTTAAAACACTATTTGTGTCAGCCAAACAGTGGCTTAACGGCCAAATGCATTTTTTATGGCAGAAATTTAAAATTTAAACAAAAAAATTAAAAAAAAAAAATTAGGGAAAAAAAAAAAAAAAAAGGTTTTTTAATTTATTTTTGGCTCAAATAAATTTTTTTTTGGACAAACAGTGCCTAGACAATTATTTTTTATTTAATGAATTTTATTTTATTTTATTTTTAAAAAAATTGAGTTCAAAGTAACCTATTTTTGAGTTTTTCCAAAACAAGAAAACATCCTGCCAAACAGTGCCTTAAGGCATTGGTCCTGTTTGTTAAAAAATAAAAAATGCTAAGGTAAAACGGCGCCACTTTATAAAAAAATAAAATAAAACAAAAAAAATATATAACAATGGGTTCGATCTCGCGATATTTTGCGAACCCGCTCGTAAGCCAAAGTGAGCCCCATTCAATTAAACTAACCTGCTGCACGGAGTTTGGGCTCCCAAATCGCTAAACAAGGCTTTGGCTAGCCCGCTGCGGGATGGCCTAACAGATGCACTGAACTCGCTAAGGAGGGTGCGCGGGCCTGCTTTTGACGTACGTAGGTGCTTACGTTGGCAACACTAGATTTCTTCCCTTCTGTGACCTTTCCACGTGTATAGTGCAACGTAGGTGCTTACGTTGGCAGATTTCCACGTGTTTGCCTATATCAGAATCTTTTCCTAAACTCTATCTCTCTATAAATACAGTGGAACTCAACAGTAAACACTTGTCTTCTGCCACTCTATCTGTAATCTACCTTTAGAGAGAGAGCACAGAAATGGCACTACTGAGGAGGATGAAATTGGGTTCGCAAGGTCTGGAAGTATCGGCACAGGGTCTGGGTTGTATGGGTATGTCCGCCTTCTACGGGCCGCCCAAACCCGAACCCGACATGATTGCCCTAATTCACCACGCCATCAACAATGGCGTCACCTTCCTCGACACCTCCGATCAGGGACGGACCCAGCAGGGGACTAGGGGGGGCAGATGCCCCCCTGAATTTTTAATATTTTTATTTTATACCCTAATGTTTTTAAAATTTATGAAAATGCCCCCCCTAAAATTACAATTCGCCCCCACTGAATTCTTTTTTTTTTTAGCATTTTATACTTCAAATTTTGATAATTTATGAAAATGCCCCACTATAATTATAATTTGCCCCACTGATTTTTTTTTTTTCATTTTATACTTAAATTTTTTTAAAATTTATGAAAAAAACCCTACTAAAATTACAAAAATAAACCCATCATATAATTTTGTACCCACAAATTAAAAATTCGCCCCCCCTCACCAAATTTTCTGGGTCCGTCACTGCCTCCGATGCCTATGGCGACAACGAAATTCTTCTCGGCAAGGTAGGTAGTGGAATTTCACTTCTAGGGTTTCATTCTGATTGGTTAATTTGATGGTTGATCGGATTTCATTACAGGCTCTGAAGGGAGGGATGAGGGAGAAAGTGCAATTGGCTTCGAAATTTGCGGTCGTCCATGTCGATGGGAAGATGGAAATACGCGGCGATCCGGCGCATGTCCGTGCCGCCTGCGAGACGAGCTTGAAGCGGCTCGATACTGATTGTATCGATCTCTACTACGTGCATCGCATCGATACTCGGGTGCCAATCGAAGTCACGGTATGTCTAGTATTATATATATATATATATGATGTAGGTGTGTGTGATCATGTTTCTTTGTTTGTTTAGATTGATAATTTATGTACATTTCCGATTTTAGGGGTTGATATAGGAACAAATGAACAATTGTTTGATTATTGTCATTTTAAGTATTTGTTTGGGTGGTATATATATACACACACATGTTTTGTTCCTTTTGATTGTGAATTCATATATATTTAAAATTCTAGAGGTTGATATGAGAACAATGGTTCGATTATTTTTGGTATTTGTTTTTTTGAAAGCTGATTAAAATAATGTTGTGGGGATAAATATATATCAATACATTTCATTTATGATATATATCTGTGTGATCATGTTTTTTATGTTTTAATTTTAAATTGAATTACTTTTCCAATTATTTGATTATTGTTAGTATTTGTTTGGATGAAAACGAGTAATTGATGTATTCTCTAATACTCTATTTATTTTTCCTCCTTGCGGGTTGGGTGTGGGAAAAAATAATGCAAAGAAAATTATGATGGGAAACAGGGAAAAAGAAAATAAAAGCAGAGAAGTGGTGAAAGTATTTTTGAGGGCATTTTTAGTTTCATCTCTCATTGAAACAATAGAGAAACTACGAGTAACATTGTTTTGTTTTTTTTTCCTTTTTTGTTTTTTGTTCTTTTGGCTTTTCCTTTTTCTTACTAAATGTAAGAAAAAGACAAAGCCTACAAAAATTAACAAACAATGCTTCTAATCTGAATTGAATATTCAAACAATTTAAAATTGAAACATTAACGCTACAATTACGTAAGGTTTTTACCTATATAGCAAATGTGAGTTCGCAAAAGAAAATAGCTTATCTTCCATATGGGAGGTTGAGGTTCAAGTTCCGGTTGGGGCAATGGCTGTTGCAGAGAATGGGTTTGGCACTCAAGTTGTTGCTTCTATTATGACAATAGACCTCTTTCCATTGAATTTGAATACCAAGCCCATACTTCCTAAAGGAGGTCAGGGGTTTGAGCCGAGACATGTGTGAGTATCCACTAAAAATAAATAAAATGACTGTTTGTAAACCTCGTTCCATAAAATTATAAATTGAGTTGTTCTGTTGCTTCTCTTCAAATCCCAAACGGAACAAGTTTTTTATTAGACAGAGTGATGAGTAAAATTTAGATCAAGTAGGTAATACAATAAACCACATGATGATTAACCTGTTCCTCCACCAGCTGAGAAATGTGGTATTCTTTGATCATGATGACATCATTGGCAATGTATAATTTCATCCACTTGCTGTCTCATATCAGAATTTGTGCATTCATCCACTTTCACTTCACTCAGAATTGATTCCATCAATGTAAAGCAGAATAACCGTTTATTGGTGATCATTCAATCATGCACACATAAATTCATACTCTTCAGGCTGTGAACTGCAAATCTGCTCCCTAAAGGAAGCAACAAGGTTGATTTGTTAGTTTTTTGCTTTCACTAGGGATTTTCTTTTCTAGAGTAGCGTGACTACTTTGTGCCTGCCTCTTTCCCATGTTATACATACACGTATTTGAATGTTTCACAATTGTTTCCTTATTTGTATCCCTTGTTGAGAAGAAACTTTTTCAAAGTATTTTCTTGATCTTGTTTGTGAACTACTTTTGTAAGATGGGAGAACTCAAGAAACTGGTTGAGGAGGGAAAGATTAAATACATAGGACTATCAGAGGCGAATGCTTCAACAATTAGAAGGGCACATGCTGTTCATCCAATTACAGCTGTACAGAATGAGTGGTCTTTGTGGGCAAGAGACTTGGAAACAGAAATTGTTCCTACTTGCAGGTGAGGCATATTTCATTCTAATTAAATCTGTTTGAGACTGATAAGTAACCCAAAGTTCTGATTTCATTTTTTCTTATCATCATTCAGAGAACTTGGCATTGGGATTGTTCCATATAGTCCTTTAGGACGTGGATTCTTTGCATCAGGTGCCAAGTTGATTGAGAACTTGACAGACAACGACAACCGAAAGGTTTGTGCATATAACACAGGTGGTTTGATTTTGAGAATAAATTGCATAGAACTGGAGTAATTGATTCTTTTAACTTTGTTGTTTCTTTACAGTCAGTGCACCTATTTTTTTGTCTTTCTGTACCTGTGGCAATTTAAGTAATCAACCTTATGAAGCTTGTCATGCTTTCCTCTCACCACTTGTTGACCTTCATATGGTTGTCAATATTCCTTACATGATTAACTAGATCATTCAATAAAAGTTTCGCGACGTTTCGAGGTGAAATTTGGTCTTGTTTATAGATTTGTGAAGTCAGCCACATTATACCTAGTCAGCCACGTTATACCTACTTAACACCTAGAACTTCTCTGTGAAACTTCCAATTCAAGATTATAAGAAATCCTCTTCCTCTAATCTTAGTTATGACAAGCTCCCTTTTTTATGATTGAAATTCATTTAGCCTATGTTCACGAGTAGGCCTAGAAATGTTAAGAGAGATCATACCTTTTTCTTTCATATATTCTCTCTTTTAGATGGTGAACACCCAAGTGTTTTATGTCACAACTTGGTGACTCATGGTGGAGGTCTTCACATGTATGTGTATTCTAAATTACGGCTGAAAGCCATTTTCCATTTGCCATATCCAATTTATTTAGGTAGTCCAATTTGCAAGTGTTCGATATTTGACACCTTAAGCAGCTTCTCAAAATTTCAGTATAATATGAATCACTAGGAACTAGTATACACTCCTCTCTCCTCTTCTTTCTTTTCTTTTCTTTTCTTTTTCAAAAAAAAAAGGAAAACATCACAAGGTTTTGATCACACTCACCGCTTCTGGTTTTGGCACCAAAGCAGATTCATTATTTGTTATGTATCAGCCTCATAAAAGGGATGGTATGTTTACCCTTTTGAGTTTTCTATAAACTCTGGCACGCCCGCAACCCAATTGACCGTGTAAGCCAATTTCCTAGCAAACACATGTAATTAATGCATTGTCTCTTTTAAAAATTACTACGTTACTTCTATTAAACGAAGAAAATTTGTCTAATGCGGTTCTTTTTGAGGATTTTTCCAGGCCACTCCATATATCATATAGTTCTTGATAGCACCAACTTACTTTTAATTTACAGGAGAGTCCAATTAACATCTTGTTTTCCTTTTGAATTATGTAATTCTGAGTGCAGAGACGCCATATTTGATAGCATACATGCTAACACTAATACCATAGTGATTCTAGCCAAAACCTTAGTAGCTCGGTGATGCAATTTAGGATGGTGTATGAAAGGGAAAGGAAGAATACTTGTGGTTCGAAAAGAAAATATTGAGCTTACTGGTCTTGTCTTGGTTTTTCAATGTTGATATTTTTGATGCTGAAATATGTTTTCTCAACTTTTGTAGAATTTCCCTAGGCTCCAAGCTAAAAATCTCGAGCATAACAATTATGTATTTGAGCGGGTTAATGAAATGGCAACGAAGAAGGGATGCTCTCCGTCACAGCTAGCATTGGCATGGGTCCATCACCAAGGGAATGACGTATGCCCCATTCCTGGTACCACTAAGATTGAAAACCTCAACAAGAATATTGCAGCTTTGTCTATAAAACTAACACCAAAAGAAATTACGGAACTTGAATCTTTTGCTTCTGCTGATGCTGTGAAGGGTGATAGACATGCTTCCATGGCGTCTACCTGGATATATTCAGACACTCCGCCTTTGTCTTCCTGGAAAGAATAAATTCATGCCTTTTAGCGGCAGACACTCCGCCTTTGTCTTCCTGGAAAGAATAAAATCATGCCTTTTAGCGGTGTACCTGTTTCACATGTTCACCATATCAAAATATTTACAGATATAATAAGCGACTTGAGTTATTCCTTGCGTCCCATGAACCATGGTTTTAAAATACACAAGCACATGTATACTGTGAGTCTGTGACATTTGAAATACAAAAACAGAGTATCAAGGTGTTCCAGGAGCAATGATATCTTCGGACCAATATTCTCTCTAGTGGTCCGGTTCGGGAAGCACTTTACATAAAAGAAATGATTTTCTGTCCATTTCACTTTGTTTTTGTTTTTTTAGGTTGCACGAAAGACTGGAATCGGAGAGGATTTTGTTCCGATGTCCTCTTGTTTTGTCACTTGTTGCCTACCACAAAGTTGGCTTGTGCACATACATTATATGTGCGCGCATAAATTCGTGATCCTGAAACTTCAATTCCCACGGAAAAGTCTTTCTTGTCACTGGGACAATTAAAAACCTAGCTGCTAAACCATGCGTACATATAATCTTTGATTCTAAAAGTCTAAAATTTGTCGTTTGGAAACTAGCTTTTATGCTGATTTTCATTATTTTTCCTTGTCAGAACAGCCTCACTTCAACTTTAAATCACATTTCACATATTCTACCTTCTGTCTAGTGTGTAGTGAATATAATAATCAAGTGATGCATTAAAACTATTTTCATGAATATACTTATTGTATATATATTTTTATAACGGATTTTATTCTACTCATAAAGTAATTAAGAAACCAAAATAAATTTCATTTTGGGCAAAGATATATTTTTTTTATTTTTCTTCTTCTTCTTCGGTGAAACCCTTCCAACCACATTTTCAATGTGCAAGACACTCCCAAACCAAACACAAATTTTAATCAAACTCAATATTTCAATACTAAAAAATTTAAAATTTTGGGAATCACTTGTATTTTCTTTCAGTTCTCATCTAGTCACATCAAGGAGTGACAAAAGTATTAAATTGCTACAATGGGTTGAAAAAAAAAAAAAAAAAAATGGTGTATCATCTTGCTCTGTCAAATAAAGTAAAAAGAAAAAGAAAGTGAATTTAATATACATTTTGGACTACTTAAATCTCCAAATAAAAAATGTAATAGCACTTGTAAGGAGAATAAGGGGTAGCAGGGGGACACCTTTCTTCTAACTAGGGCTTTGTTTGGATATACATTAGAAAAGAAAAGAAAGATAACATTAGGTATATGAGAAAAGAAAAAAATAATAGTAATAACCTTTATTCATGTCCGGATAAATTATGTGAAAAAATAAATGAAATAATGGTATTCTTGTTTGAGAAAGATAGTGAAGATAAAAGATAAGATAAGATAAGAATTAAATTACTATTATAACTTTTTTATAAAATGTTATAAGATGATAGGTTTGGAATTATGAAAATATTATTTACTCATTATCATTTTCTTCAAATAATAATAAGAATAATAATAATAATAATAATTTCATTTTTGAAAAGATAACACATAGGGATTTGGAGGGATAGTTATCAATCAACTATCCATCCCAAACTCCCAATCCTTTCTTTTCTTTTCACTAAAAAGCTACCCAAACATGATTTCCACAATCTTTTATTTTCTTTTCAAATCCATCTGAATCACTCTATCCAACAGAAAACCTATGTGTAAATTTTTTCAGTCTTTTAAGATACATTGTCACATCATCAATATGTAAAATAATTGTGTATTTTACACAACCGTTTTACACTACCAGATCAACATATTTCATTTATCATCCCTCTTTCTCATTCCATTAAAGAATTAACCATATATTAAGTAAGTTTGTAAAAGTTATGTGGGATCCCGGCATGACACATGGTTAGTTATTATTGGGAGATGTATTTTTACACAAATGGTATAGAATAACCATTGGAGCTTAAATTAAATAATTCAAAATTTTTGTGTAAATCCATCATGACATATCAAATTTACACAAAAAAAATATACATAATAATTGGAGATGTTCTAAGCTACTCATGAACCTAACAATCTCATAATTCAAGTTGACTGATGATATGAAGGCAAAGGCTCGAATTCCATAAAATTATAAATTGAGTTGTCCTGTTGTTTCTATTCTTCCAAACATCACAAAATACCACATGATAAGAAAACATGATGTTTACTCACCAAATGAATAAAAGGATCCAGTTGAGAAATGTGTTACTCTGATGCATGATGACATCAATAGCCATATATGATGTTGTCCACTTGTTGTCCCGGATCGGAAGTTGTGCAATCATCCACTTTCACTTCATCCAGAATTCATTTGGTCTATGGTAAAGCAGAATAACCATTTATTTGCGATCAGTCAATCATGCACACATAAATTCATACTCTTCAGGCTATGAGCTGCAAATTTGCTCCTGCAAGGAAGCAAAAGGGTTGCATAGGTAGTTGTGTGCTTCCACTACAGATTTTCTTTCGTAGAGTAGTGTGAATACGTTTTTCCTGCCTCTCTTTCCCTTGTTATACATATGGGTATTTGAATGTTCCATAATTGTTTCCTTATGTGTATCCCTAGTTGAGAAGAAACTTTTTGCAAGTATTTTTTTTGACCTGGTTTATGAACTAGGTACTTTGTAAGATGGGAGAGCTCAAGAAACTAATTTATATAAACCTCTCCTATGAGTTGTCCTAATTACAGGGACCTCCTCTCTTATTTGGAAAATTACTTTGACCTTCCCTAAGTTTAAAAATATCTTGCATGGACCTACCTTATGTGTGATGGACCGTTAAATACACTCACGAATCTTGCTAATTTACTGAAATGTCCTTAATTTTCTATGGTAAATTACTGAAGTACCTTATATATATATATATATATATATATAGAGAGAGAGAGAGAGAGAGAGAGAGAGAAATTAAATCTTAAAACTGTTTGGGGCCACCACCACCAACCACCATGGGTGCCACCACGGCCACCGCCACCAACATCTCTGTTTTCCTCCATCTTTGTGTGTGTGCGTGTATATATATTTGTAATGCGATATATTAACGACCTTTCCTTTTACACCTGTTTGATTAAGAAACTTTAGAGATAAAAGGAGAAAATAAAGTTTCCTTACTCTAAAAAAGAAAAAAGGAAAAAGGAAACATAAAACCAATAACGCTATTTTTTCACCCTCTCCCGTCTCTTTATCTCATTGTCTGATTTTTCTGGTAAGGTTTATAGTTTCAGAGCAACTGAGAAGGAAAAAAATAGTATCAGAGATTAAATATTTGGATAAAAATAAAAATGTAAAAGATTATTAAAAAAAGGATCAGCAAGGAAAAAAGAACTGTGATTCACCGAAACGATTCGCCGGTGGGTGGAGGTTGGCCGTGGCAACAACGGTTCATGAATGGGGTTTTCTTTAAGGTAAGCCAATTCATGAAGGGATCGATCTAGAGAACGAATTCTTGATTAGAACAAGCTTGTTCAACGAAACAAGGCATCCAAAGTTTGCTGGAATAGGACCCATGAATCAATTACTCAAAGCATCCAAAACTTGGAGCCCAGATAGTGATGACAATGAATTAGGTAGGGGACCCTCTGGTGTGTTGTTGCTGAAAATTTAAGCTTTTCCGGCGATTCTTGCTTCTCCGGCTTTGGAATTGTACAGTCCTCCATCCTTATCTTTTTCATTCAATTCGGTAAAAGATAGATATCAGATCAATTCGGTAAAAAATATATATCAGATCAATTCTTAAATTAATTTAAGAAAATTAATATAAAACAAAACAAAACAATAACACACTAGAATTGCATTTTTCATGACCAGGTTCCGTCACATAGATCAAACCCAGTTGCAATTTTGATTTCCAAAATAAAAACCAAATCACACAGATCAAACCCAATCGCAAATGTCATACCCACAAACCCAATTGTTCACAGCCACCATTCCTTTTACTGGAATTGGGTTTTTCATGACCAGGTTCATGAATTGGGTTTTGTGATGATGTGCGAGGAGAAGAGATTTTCAAAGAAAATCTCCGTCCCTTATGTAACCACGGTGCTCTATGAAGCATCGATACATTGCCGAGGTACAACGTACTAGTGTCGGACACAGATACGCATATTGGAGCTCTAGACACGTGTCCAAACACGTGTCCGACACCTTGAAATCGGTGTCCTAAATTTTTATTATTTAATATAGAACGGACACGGAGGAGGACACACAAAGGACACCGTGTCTGTCGCTGTAGAAATTTTCTTTTGAAAAAAAATGAAAAGAAAAACAGAGAAGAAGAAGAAGATGACATATATATATATATAGAGAGAGAGAGAGACAGAGAGAGTATACACAGAAAAAAATAAATGAATTTACAGATCATGCTCTTATATGCCACCTGATCTGAAATTTTCGGTAGATGACTCTTTAAAATCGCTTGATGCAGATACGTATAAGGTTATTGCGATGGCCACCAGTGAAAGGATCGAAAAAAAAAAAAAAAGAAAAAAAAGAAAAGAAAGGAGAAGATGAGAAGAATGGTGTTATGGGAAAAGAACGGCTGAAGAGAGATAAAAAGAGTAAAGGAAAGAGTGGATAATAATAAAAGTTAAACCTTACCTACCTTTATCCCTTGTTTGGTTACAGATAAAACTTAGCCTTTTGAATATACAGATATTTATTTCTTTGTTTATATATTAATAGAATTTGGGCCTTAAACTCAAAATATTTAGTGGGCCTAATTTAAAAGGGTTAAGAATAGAGGAGAAATTGAGAAAACACAATTATTAGTATTATATATATATATATCTATATATATATATATAATTATTATTTATTTTATTTAATTGTCATATCCTTGCCGTATCCGTGTCCTAATTTTTGAAAATTTGATGTATCGCCATACCCTTGTCGTATCGTACCCGTGTCCCCATGTCTGTGTCCATGCTTCTTAGACGGTGCTTGATACTAGAACAAAAGAATCAGAAGAGGCAATGGTCCTTCCTTATGGGAATGATGTTGACTGTTGAGCCGTTATTCTCCCTGCCCTGGCCTCACCTCAAACTTTTCGAACCTAGCTAGCATTATCTTTACGTCGGTAAACCAGGAAGTACCGCCGGCTCTTGGTTACCTCAGAATATAATATCAAGTATTATATATATATATATATTACCTTAATTAAATATGAAATTATATATGGACAAGGGTATTATGGGAATTTTAGTAAAAATAGTAGATGATGTCATCTATTTCAGTCGTTGACTATCGTTGACTCTAACAGAAGGGAGGTCCGTGTAGGATATTTTCAAAAGTAGGAGAGGTTCAAGTAATTTCCCAAACAAGAGGGGAGGTCCCTGTAATTATGGCAAACCATAGGGGAGGCTTGTGTAAATTACCCAAGATAAAATGCATAGGATTATCTGTGGCCAACGCTTCAATAATTAGAAGGGCACATGCTGTTCATCCAATAACAGCTGTGCAAAATGAGTGGTCTTTATGGGCATGAGACTTGGAAACAAAAATTGTTCCTACTTCCAGGTGAGGCATATTCCATGCTAGTTAATCTGTTGGGAGACTAATAATTAATCCATAATTCTGATTTCATTATTTTTATTATCATCCAGAGAACTCGGCGTTGGGATTATTCCTTATTATCCTTTAGGACATGGATTCTTTGCATATGGTGCCAAGTTGGTTAAGAACTTGTCAGAAAACGACAGCTGAAAAGTTTGTACATATAAAATGGGGTAATTTACACAAACCTCCCTTATGGTTTGCCATAATTACAGGGACCTCCCTTCCTGTTTTGAAAATTACGCGGACCTCCCCTAAAAATGAAAATATCTTACATGGACCTCCCTTCTGTTAGAGTTAACGCCAATCAACGACGAAAATTGCTGACATCATGTACAAGTTTTACTAAAATTTCCATAATACCCTTATCCCTACCAATTGATATATATATATATATATATATATATATATATATATATATATATCAATTGATATTTCTGGGATTTTTAGATACCTGTTGTTGGTGTCGGTGGCCGTACCATTCCAATCCACAACCCATGTTATTAATCTGTTCCAATCGTAGTCGCCGGAAAACCTCCACTCACGATTTGCTTTTCGGCCATTTAATCATCAAATTTTCTTTGATACGTCGCTTGCTCTTAAACTTCAATTTGCAACCTTTGCAAATCCTGGATCTGCATCCCCAAATCGAATAGGAAATCCATATGGTTCGACGGCACCGGCATTGACGGCAGAATTCTGAAAGCTTAATTATTCCTCTCAGCTTGTGGATCAAGAATGTTAAGGATTTCCTGGAAGTTTTGACAGAATTGTCAAATTCAATGAAGTTTAGATTCAATTGTGCCTTTGGATTTTGAATATATACTTACCAGATCAAGGGAAACTCATTTACTATATATATATATATATATTATATATTTACCAGATCGATCAGATCGATCAATTGCTATGTATATATACTTACCAGATCGATCAAGGGAAATTCATTGTACATGGAATCCATTTAAAATCTTAGTGAGTCTATCCATTTCATAGTAATGGATTATTGGAACGGGTGGGCGCTTGCCCATTTACCCAAAAGCTCAAACTATTGGTTAGTGCTACATACCCACCCAGTTATACACACATCAACCCCCATCCAAATCCGATGTGAGACAAGTTCTACTTGTAACATTCTCCCCCACCCGAACTCTCGCAATGCCCTCGTTGTGGTCGGACCACCCTACTTACTCGAGGACAGACCTGGACACCCTCCGAGCAGGGCGCTTGGCGTGACACTGGATTAAGGACTGGGTCTGACTTTGATACTAACTGTAACGGGTAGGCGCTTGCCCATTTTCCCAAAAGCTTGAACTATTGGGTAGTGCTACATATCCACCCATTTATACACACTTCAACCCCCACCCAAATCAGATGTGGGACAAGTTCTACTTGTAACAATTATCCATCATCTTCATTTGGTATATATATGCGTGTATATATATATAAATCAATCTTAAATTAAATTTTTTTTTTACTCAAATTTCTTCTTATATGTCATAAAAGCTAGTAAACCAAATTTCTTCCAAATCTAAATACGACACAACAATATTACAGTTGAAGACATCAAACCCATGTCAAAGACTAATCATATTACCAAATAAAATATCAAAAGCATAAGCAGGTACATAAACCCTTATTTGGTAGGAAAGCTTATGGGTAGTTTAGTAATTTCAGATGCCAATGTGAGGGTATTCCAGTAATTTTGATAGCTCCGTTAGTGTATTTAACGGTCCGTCACACATAAGGGAGGTCCGTGTAGATTATTTTCACTCTTAAGGGGGGTCCGCGTAATTTTCAAAACAGTAAGGGAGGTCCCTGTAATTAGGGTATGGGAGGTTTGTATAAATTACCCTATAAAATGGGTAGTCTTGTTTTGAGAATAAATTTTATAGAACTGGAATATATATATATATATATATATATATATATATATATATATATATATATATATATATATATATATATATATTGTCCTGACAAGAAAAGCCAAAAAGCCATTACATGAACAGCCATAAACAGGGCAAACAAACACAACAACATCAAAGGAACCACAAAAGAAAGAACAAACAAGACAGATTCCAAAAAAATCTAAGAAAATGCTACGGCATGACCATCGTCATGAGAACCGAAGCTTAAGTAGTTTTTGAAGTAGGAGACCGTCCCGCACCCATCAACATGGCAATCTTAGTAGCAAACGAGAATTGAAGGAGTCTGTCAATTGCAGTCCCAAACCCCCCGAGAAAGTGGAATTAACACCAGCCAAGCTACTAGGAGGGATCAACGACGCCATCTTGCTCATAGCAGCACCCACCTTACCCTTCAGCCTTTATCTCCTTGTAACTGAGCCCCTGTAGATCCCCCGGAACTGGAGTAATTGATTCTGTTAACATTGTTGTTTTTTTATATTCAGTGTGCCTAGTTTTTAAGTATTTTTTACATGCGGCTATTTAAATAATCAATCTTATGAAGCTTGACAAGCTTTCCTCTCCCCACTTTCTGATTAACATTCCTTAAATGATTAACTAGATCATTCAATAGTTGAATCATGTAGTCAATCATTAGTTCCTCTACTTGTGCTACCTTTCAAGGTAAAATTTGTTTTTGTTTATAGATTTGTGAGTCAGCCACGTTATAACTACTTGGAAATCTAGAGCTTCTCTGGGAAACTTCCAATTCAAGATATAAGAAATCATTTTCATCCAATCTTATTGATTACATGTTCCCTTTTTCATGGTTGAATTTTTTTTAGCCAATCTGATGTTACGTTCAGCATAAGGTCAAGAAATTTTATAGAGATCATATCTTTTTCTTCCATATCGTTTCTCTTTTTGATGGCAAACACCTAAGTGTTTTCTGTTACAACTTAGTGACACATGGTGACGGTCTTCAGATGTATGTGTCTATTAAATTACTGCTGAAAAACACCATTTTCCATTAGCCATATATTGCATACCCAATTTATTTATGCAGTTCAAATTGCAACTGTTTGGTATTTGACACCTTAAACTCCCACAGTTTCATCTCAATTTCTCAAATTTTCAATGTAATCTGAAATCACAAGGTACTAGTTTGCACCTTTTTTTGTTTTTGTTTTTCTTTTTAAAGGAAAACATAACAAGGTTTTAATCACACACACTGCTTCTAGTTTTGGCGCCAAAGCAGATTCATTACTTGTTATGTATCAACCTGTTATTTCTCTGAAACGAAGAAAAGTTGTCTAATTGGAGGATTTTGCCAGGCCACTCCAAATATATTATTTAGTTCTAGATAACACCAACTTACTTTTAATTTATAGGAGAGTCCGTGAACATCTTATTTTCTTTTTGTATTATGTAAGTCTCAGTGTGGAATCACCATATTGGATAGAATGCTAACCTGATTAGACAAATTCTTAGCTTTTTGGTTGTTGAGCTTTTGCAAATAGTCCCTTTATGTTTGAGAGACACCTTTTCATAGAAGAGACTGGTATGTTCTTATTAGTCGTCTCATGTTTAATGTACTCTGTGTAAAACAAGAGTTATGCGGGGTGCTAAAATAGTTAGTTGATTTTAATTGTGATTAACTCCTTTAATAACCTAGATCTGATTATTAGGTCAACTTGTTCAATTTATAATTGATTAAATTATATGATCAATTTAAACATCCACAATCACAAATATATGAAAAATAAAACAAGTTAGAGTTCGAGAGATTGCACTAGGATTTTAGTGGGGAAATCCCAATTGATAAAATACATCAACTGTTATGGGAAAAACTTCGTGGACTATGCAGTCCAAAGTAAACCAATCCACTATGCTTGAAATAAAGTATACCGAATTTTGACTTTGGCTCACACCCTATCGTTCTACACCGGACTAATCGCTGATGATCCTCTGGCTTTGTGACCCCCCGTCCAACAGCAACTTGACCTCAGCCTTACACTTGATATTTGTAGAAGAGTAGTAGGTAGATCAGACAACACTCCATGAATGCTCCAACCCTTTCAAAGTGTGATAGCGTTTACTTCTGTTCTT